GCAGCAGGGCAGGTAGGTTTACGTAGTACTCAGGGTTGTAACATCATATACAAAATCACACCTCATATGCTTAAATAATAATTTAGTTTTGTTAAATAAATAAAATAAATATTTTTTCAGGCATAAACCATGTTTTTTAAAAGTCCAACTTTTTTTTTTTTACATTTATATTAAAGCTACACGGGATACCCTTTAAATACCGAAGAGCAGTTTACTAATGAAGGGCGTGGCTTTGCCATAGAGCGCGCGAATGGGAGCGGCAGCAGTTGTTGGCGGGCGTGCGTCACGTGAAGGCTCGGCTCATGTGACATGAGGGCTGTCATGAGGGTGTCATGAGGACAATCAAAACAGGAACAAAATGGCAGCAACTGGAGACGAAGCCGCTGCCATGGACAGCATCTCCAGGGCACCATCGACTCATTCGGCGACTCTGAATCCGACCGCAAGTGATAGCGGTCAAGCAGAGGGCCCGGGGGATGCAGCGGAAAGCCTCGCAGCCGTTCCGAAAAAACACGGCACAAACAGTGAGTCCTGGTTTCTTTGCACTTCCCTAGCTAATGCTAATATAGCATACAGTAATCCAATTATTTAGTTTTCTATTTGTGGGTCTTACATTGTCTGCTCTGCATGGCATCCTTCTTATTTGTGTAATGTGATTGTATTTTGCGTTATTTCATTTATATTGTGGCCACATTTAAGTTTGCAACTGGATTTAAAAGCTGCGCTGTGTTAATGCTGCTGCATTGTTTTCAGGTGATGGTGGTGTGGAGACAGCAGAGGAGGCTGTGGAGCCTGCAGAGCCCGATATAAACGAGTTGTGCACCGATATGTTTGAAAAGATGGCCATCTTCTTGCAAGGAGAACTAACAGGTCTCCTATTTTTTTTGAATATTGGAAACACTCGCATTTTGTTTTCAAAGTATGAAACAGTTATGTTCTTAAATGTCAAAGCCATAGGGCCAGTTGCTGATGTTCTTTGCTACTCATATTCATTCTTACCAATTTTTCTCTAAATGTTCTCCCAATCTCCTTAGGCACTTGTGAGGATTACCGTCTATTGGAGAACATGAACAAGATTACTAGCTTGAAGTATATGGAAATGAAAGACATTAGCATTAACATCAGTCGTAACCTACAGGATCTTAACAACAAGTGTGAGTACAAAAAAACTAAAAAACTAGCCCCATAATTTTCATCTGTTACTGGGACTTGTAATATAAGAAGACTTGTCTGGTGTGCATGTTTTCTTTAGATGCAAGTTTACAGCCCTACTTGGACCAAATAAACCAGATTGAGGAGCAAGTATCTGCACTTGAACAAGCTGCTTACAAACTGGATGCATACTCCAAGAAACTGGGTAAGACAGTTAATGACAGAGGTGTAAAAGTGTTTGTTCTGCACAGAGGACAGGATATCTTTTGACACAACATAAATGAATCGGAGTCAAACATGTTCTAAAAAGCACATCTTTGACTTGGCAATGGAAAAATAGGTAAAATTAAAATCAACAGCTGAAAGCAAAACACATTTGGGGCAGTGTTATCCATTTTTCTTTACTATTATAATTTTTAGATTTCACTGGTGGCTCTACATTTTTTTATCTTTAAATGTAAAGTTACTTTAGGAAAGTAACTTTGTCATTGTTTGTTTTGATTCCACAGTACCATCTTTCTTTGTTTTAATTTGCTATGTCTAGTGAACATATTATTTTTTTTGCTGTGTCTTTGAGAGCACAGTCAAGGTGACAGTGTAGGCTCTTTCTGTATCTGTTGACGTTATTATTTATGGTACAGTCAGCACAACCGTGTTGGCAGCTTCCATGCCAATAGATGGCGCTGTGTCACCACAAACAATTCCTGACCTAAATATTTTAAGGTTAAGGTCAAACATTATTTGATTGCACAATAACTGAACAATGTATTTTTATTACAATAGAGTGAGAAGTCATCCCTTTCTTTATCTTTATAGAGGCCAGATTTAAAAAACTGGAGAAGCGATGAGGGGGAAGAGGCGGTAGACTAAGAGCTATGGTGCCTTCCCTTTCACCCTGCCTTGCATTCTGTTTTCCCTGCCAGTGGAGCCAGGACCTGCAGGGAGGATGTGAACTGAGACTGAAACAACAAACAGTCAGAGACACTTTGACACGTAGAAAATACCAAGGAGGAAGCAGCTGAATGCACATGAGTTAGTAATGCAGTGTTTGACTTAGATATGACTCCAATATCACGTAGCCAAGGTATACAACGTATACCCAAATCCTTTTGCAGATGTATTCCCCCCCCCTTGTAGAATAAAAACTCTAAATAGACTGGCTATAATAACTGCGAGATGGAGGATATATTTATTACTAATCAGATAGAAATTCAGTGGAGTATTCAACAGCAATGTTATACACAATTTACATGGCAAAGCATGGTCACAGATGTGTTTTAAGAATGTGTTCGAATCCCAGTCTCCTTCCTTGGAAATTGTCTGATACTGAGCCCTGAAAATTTCATGTGGTAGTTCTGACTTAAAATGAATGGTATAAAAAAAACCTTTTACACATTCACTAAAGACTTCAAGATGTTTACCAATGATGAAGCTACTGTATAGAGGGCAGTTGATAATGATGACACTTTGACCATGGAGTTTGAAATCTGGAGTTTAAAGACATTTAATATGACTGGCTTTTTTTTTTTTTTTTTTTTTTTATGGGAATAAATTATGATCTGCATATCATTGCTTGATTGATAATACTTTCCTCACAACAGTACTTATTATTTTGCTTTATGAACATGTACATGAGGTCTTTATGTTTTGGGTGTTTTTGTTTGTTTGTTTTAAAGCTAATGTAATGACGAGGGAAAAGGGGAAGGGAGAGGAGAGGTCCTCTTCAAACTGGTGGAGAGCAGCTTAATAAAAAAAAAAAAAAGTAATGGTAGCCAAGGAATACAAAACTCAAGTGTAGCAGTTTATTTTATTTTTATTATTTTTTTTATTTTTTACAATAAATAAATAAAAAAACAAAAAAAACAAGCTAGAAGTCCAACTATACATTATAAGTATGGGTGCAACAGTCTTGAAACAAATGCTCTAGCAGCCATCAGAAACCAGTCACCTGTTCTGTCTCAATGGGAAAGGCCTTTTTACTGGGTCCAGCTTCTCTGCCATACCAGTTCCACAGACATTCAAGGGTAGAGCTCCTTGGCATACATCTGTACTATCGATCCTGTTGGTGCCCTTCCTCTGCTGAAGCTCTGCTGTCTTCTTTGTGCCTCATATGCACCTGCTCTCTTGACTGTCCTCACCTCCCATCTTTTATGCAGAGTGAGCACGTGTTGATAATTTGTTTAATTAGGAAGATGTGAGAAGGAAGTAGAAACATTTCAAAACAAAAGCATGCAAAATATGAAGGCTATAAAACATTAAATCTTTCACCTCATGACATAAACAGTGAAAACAGGTTCTCAGATGAAATTTGTATTGACAGCAGATGGCGGACTTGTACCATGATAATGCTCTAAACTAGTACATTGTTGACAAATTAGATATAGTAAACTGTAATTCTGGAAAAACTGACCCACTCCTGAAAGAGGTTTGAGTCACAAACTTCTCAGATGAACTCTGGGAAAACCGAGACCAACAGAGGGAAATGGATGACACACACTTGATAATTCAAAGGAAAGGACGAATGCGTGACTGAAGATGTGTGTGATGCCCTCTGCCTCCTTTGTTTCCTCCTTTAAATTAGCTCTCCCAGAGCCGAACAGAGCCATGTTTGCCATAGGCAACAGATTATCCAAACTGATAGAACCTCCCTCTGTGTGTTGTTTCATGCACATATATTCATGTGTGTGTGTTTTTGTGTAAGGGCTAATCTAAAACAGGTCTCTGTCATTAGTCC